CCAGGGGGCTGAGGGTGGCATTGCCATTCCCCAGTTTCAGTAGAGTGCTCTAGGTATTGTGGCTCAGGATTCTTAGGGCAAGCTTCTTTGGCTGTGTCCCCAATTTTATTTGCCTTCCCTCTATTTTTCCCTTGGAACCTTTTGCCACCTGCCAGCTCCCCACCTCATGGTTAACTGCATCAGCTCCAATTTACTTATTGCTCTAGGTATGTGATTGCTTTTCTTCAAGGTATCTCTATGAGTTGGTCATTATTACTATTTCATCTTACTGAGGACCATGAAATGTTGTCTTCTGTCCTAGATCTCTCAGAGAGCAAAGAGCAGAGGTAGGACTCAAACTCTGGTTGGCCTGATGCCAAAGCCCATGCCTTTGCCGCTAGAGTACAGCAAATATGTGAACTTATGTTGCAAGAGACCAAGGAGAAATACCCCTCTGTAGTTCCCTGTTGTCCAGGCTTGGGGCATTCACTGACCAACTCAGCTGCATGTTCGGCCTCTCAAAGGTGACTTCCCCTTGAAGATGAGTTCCCACTCATTTGGCAAGGCCAAGTGCTCACTGGGAAAGAGCTGGGACTGCAGATTCTGGAGACCTTGCATCTAGTTCTGATTCCATTGCAACTCACAGGATGTGTGAACTTGGAGAGGTCCTGTCCCTTGATTCTCATCTTTCTGTGAAATGGGGATAGCATATGGCCCCCAGCTGAAGCCCGTGTCTCCTTTTTATGCAGCAAAGCAGGAAGGATCGTGGGCCTGGAGTCAGGCAGCTGGGTTCCAGTTTCAGTTCTGCCACATAACCATCTTGAAGTCAAGCAACACTTTTAACGTCTGTAAGCTTAAATTTATTCATCTGTAAGATGGGTTTAATAATATTTTCTATGAGTCTCTTACAAAGGTTGAGTGGTATTAATGGCATGGATATGTGTAGGAAATTTCATGTGGAATGCTTTGAGTTCTTCATCAGAAAGGATGTGCATAAGGTTGTGGTCATCGAAAGTGCTGTGGTCAGCAAGGAAGTGAGCATGTTAAACCATCTTCTATGGTGCCCAGGACTCTGTGATATCATTATCATCCCCTTGGTTATCTGCTAGCATCTGGGAAACAGTGAACCTTAGGACTGCCCAGTCTCTTACGTAGTCATTCCTTAAGCCATCCCCATCGAGGACATTTTGGGGAGCGCAGAAGAGAGAAGAGAGGAGAATAGGCTGCACTAAAGAGGATAAGAGCTATCCAAGCCTCTGGTTCCTGGAGATCACCCCTCCTCTCACACCCTGGTGATCTTCTGAGCTCACCAGCAGCTTCCCCAGGCAGGCCTAACGCTGCAGTGGGAGGACTCATTTTTTAAAAAGGCTTGGTTCATGACCAGACTCTGAAAACTGGGTCATGGATCCTAACTGAGTCATAAGAATCATGGAGACTTTGTGCTACAGTTGACCAACTCTGAGCTAATTCTCTGGGGAAAGCTTCACATGTTGTGGATGTTTCCCATGGAGAAAAGAACCAGGCTGAGGGCTTGTGCATGGACAGAGGTGCTTTCTAAGCCACTACTAGCATTACAGAGGCCATGCCAGTGCCTGCCTGTGCCTTTGCATTCAGGTGTGTCTAGGACTGCTATATATCTGGATAGGTATCTAGACTATCCTTTCAAATCTTCTGGGAAAGTAGAACCCCAAATTGCCCTAGGTAAGCATACAAGTATTACCAAATTTAACAATCTAAATGCCTGTATCAATATTTTCTTTCCTATAATTTAGGAGAATATTCTTGGGCTCTCAGGAGGGGAAAAACAAAATTGGTTACTTTTCTTTAAAGACACACCATTCTTTTTATTGAAACTTGTTCTCAAGTCTGTTAATGTCCAGAATTCTAGAGGCTCTGAGAATTTATTCTGCTTACAAGTTAATAAGTTAGCCTGTTATTGTTTCATATTTGCAGAAGATATGAGATTCCTCCATCAGAGATGAAAGACTTAGTTCCTCACAGCAAATGCAGTAGCCACATTTTCAGCATATTTGTGTTGGCCTCCTGAGCACCAATTCCCACAAGGTGGGAATGAAGATGACCCCATGGCACATGTACGCACAGGGTATTCCTTTATAGGGAAGGAACCCTGCACTTAGGGAACCTAAGTCTTATATAATGGGCAGTAAATATGCCTTTACTTTACTCTAAAGTGACAATCTCTATCTTCCATGGCTGTTTGCTATGTAAACATTCTTCATAAGGTTGTCTGGAACAAAGGATGGTCCCCTCCCTGCATATAAGACATGCAAAAACATGAGGGTCCCATGGGGAAATGTTTCCTAATATTTGTCAATGTTATTATGTTTAGATGAGCAAATTCCAGTTTCTTTATCCTTTTTGCCTGGGTTCTGTCTCCCAACCCTTTTGTTTGTTGGACAGTTATCCCCGCTGGGGCTCTGGCTGTGTTTGAGTTCTGTGGCTTCCCACCTTTTGGGACAGCACCATCCGCATGGCCCTGATATTCTGCTATAAGGCACTTCCTGAGGACTTCCATGAAGGAAGTTTACGTCCCCATCCGGGGGGCCCCAAGGAAGCTGCACCTGGAAGACATATTGCTGTCATCTCCTCAGTTCTAGAAAGGTAAAGACGAATTGCAGGCAATTTAGAGACAAGTAACTTAGGTGATGAGGGGTGATGTCAGGGGGAAAGATGAAAAGAAATGCATGTGCAAGCGTCTGCTCAGATTGTGCTAAAGAAAAAGGGGCTGTGGGGAAGGATCCTATGCCCCATAAATGTGTCTTTCTGGATACAGATGTCTGACTCCTTCCTCCCTAGCCTGACCTGTCTATGCATTAGTTTCCTCTTTTATAAAACTGGAATGAAAACGGTATATAGTTGTCGGGGGTTAAAGGGCATAAAACATATCAATCACCCAAAGCAGTGCCTGCCACATACAAGGGGCTGGAGCAATATGTGCTATTTTAGTAATGCAATAAATTTGAGCTAGAATCTTAGAGAGGCTTACATGGAGTTTCTCAGCCTACAGAGGAGGAAATGGAAGTTCTTTGGGAGAGGGGACTGGTCCATGGACACAAAACTAGTTACAGGAAGAGCAGGACTAACTAGAAGCCAAGTCTCCTGACATCTAACTTGGTGCTACGTAGAGATTAACTTCTTTTCTGTTTAGTTTTTCAAATGGTGGTATACTTTTCTAGGTCAAAATTCATCCAGAATATTTAAGACATAAGAATATATTATGGTTACCTATTGCTTTAGTGTGTTTTGATTGTTAATGTCTATACACTGAGAAAAAATAGATAGAAGCCTGTTAGGTTTCAAGTTCTCCTTCTGAGTTCCTTGAAAAAGGGTAAGTACATTGATGACAGCTTTTCTGAGATGGAACATACAGTTATTCTTTCAAAGGCCTTCTGGTAAGTTCATCTTCTTGTTCATTTTGGATGTTGACGTGGATGGCTAAATGTACATGGGCTTTTCTTCTGGCAGCTGAGTAGAGGCAGCCACAAGTCCCTTATTTTATAGGTATGGCTAAGATAATTTATTCCAATTTCTCATAGATAAATTAGGCTTCCTCTGACAATATAGTTAAGGATGCTAAGCTTTTCACTTCTGAGGCATCTCACATTTTTTCAATCAAGTTGTACGGATTAAGGAATGATGATTTACCCATCTGACATTAATCAAAATTAACTGCCACTATATGATCTGTGTATGACCATTGCTATCCCACTATGTTGAAATAATTCTAGGCCATAAATCAAAACATGATTTCTTTAGTGTGCCTGCACAAACTTATCCCCAACAAACAATATTTGTTGCATTTTTGGAAATATTGAAAATAGTCTAAAGATGCCCATTACTATTTTCAAGATGTACTAGGAACCACTACCATTAACTATAGGATGAAGAAGCAGAGGGATTTTAGGAATAACAGAAGCCAACTTCTGACTGTATAGAAGGAACCGAAGCCCAAGGATTGGGTCACTTTCCCAGGGACCCTGGAAGAGGTCTCTGGGAATGGCTCCCTGCCCTAATTTATGCCCCCCCTTTCCTGGGAATGGCCATAGTATAAGTAAAGGCCTCCAGGGCCATGTCCGGGCTCTCTCCTTTTCTGGTGGGTCCCTCCTGAGTTAGACCTCGGAGACAGCTGGTTTTCAATCCTGGTCTAAAGCTGAGTTGATCAGTCTCTTCTTAAGAATTTAACATTTGAAACAGAGCCTGAAGCGTTCTTGAGGCTGAGTTCAGGGAGGGCAGACGTTGTGAGGAATCCCACGTTGCCCTGATGCTGACTGCCTGGAGCCTCTTGTGCAGTTTTCTTCATGTGTCTTGTTCAACTCTTCCCTCACTTTCAGGTCTCAGGACTTTCATTCTAATGTTCTTTCTTGCATAACATGCTGCCACTCAAAATATAATCTATAAATCCTTGATATAACTCAGGCTTTGGGCAATCCAATAATTATTAGACAATGGACGTTCTAGGAAATCAACTTTTTTTTTTAGGACTTCTTATTGAGGGCTCTTTTGCAAATTATGAGTTTAGGGAAAACAAAATTCACACATATTCTTAAATATTCTATTGCATTACACTAGAATAATGGAACCAGTTTACTTTACAATGAGATATTATTATAACACTCTCTAGGGTAGATTTACCAAAGCACTGATACACAAAATAGGAAGACATTCTCCGAATTTTGAAGTATCTTTCACTGGCATATTCAATAATACCACCTCATTTTCTATGAGTTCCTGGGGGATGTAAATCATTGCACTGTAGATAAATGAAGATGCTTGTCTTCAAGGCTGTGAGAAAAAAAATTTTTTTTTCTATATACTACTGTCCCCATTTTATCAATAGAGAAACCAAGACATTGAGCTCATTTAATTGCTGGGGATCCACGGAGGGGAGGAAGAGGCGGGGTCAAGGAATACAGCGGAGTGGAAACTCGTGTGTTTGCGGCTCTCAAAGCTCCGACTTAGCTTTTGAAATATATTTTGAACAAGAGGAGAGAGGGGGTTTATTATGTATCTTTATTCTCCCAGGGCCTAGCACATAAATAGGTGCCTAATAAACATCGAAGGGAAGAAGAGCGAGGGGAGGAGAGGAAGGAAGTCGGAGTGCGCAGGTGCAGACTGTCCTGGGAAGTCCTTGGGACACACGTCCCCGGTTATCAGGAGGCAGGCGAGTTCAAATTCCGGGAGAGAGGAAAGGATGCAGAGCCGGAGAGCTGAGGAGGGAAAAAGAGAAGTCAGATCAGTCACAGCAAAGATGAAGAGGTTGACACTGACCCTGGAGAAACGCGCGGGGCGTGGGGCGGGGTCCTCGGGCGCCTCCCTCACGGCTGGGCAACTTTTCTCCACCTCGCCTTTCATCCTCTCCTCATCCACAGCGTCCGCGAGTCTCCTGTTCTAGATCAAAACCAGCCTCCTGGAAGTAGAGACATGTTCGAGGCCAAATAAAACACCAACCTCTTTTTAAAGGGTTACCAGGGCCTTTGTGATTTAACTGGTTTAAACCTTGGCCTGCAGGACTGACTTTGTAGCGGTGGAATTAAGATCATCAGCCAGAGGACTGGCAAAGTTTTGCTTGGTGCCCCCAATCGAATCTCACTTGCATGGTTCCCACTGGTCTCCCCTTGCTTCTTCCTGGGACATCCGTCCTCTTCCTACTTCCGGACTCCACCCTCCTCCATGCACTCGGGCACTGTCATCATCTGTGCTGCTTCCTGCCTGGAGGGCCAAGCAGTAAGGAGCTCTGGTCCCCAGCACACACACAGAGAAGGGAGTGCTGGCTCTGCTCAAGGGGGTGTATACTGTTCATGCGGAATGTGGGGTTCCACCTCTCCAAGCCAATCAGGCCTGCTCCTGGGATAAGTGGCTTGTGCTTTGGGCCCACGGTGGCATGTGCTCCTTCCTTGCGATATTAGTACATGGCCCCATGGCATGATAGGAAATTTTAGGGGAAAAGGGTTGAGAAGGACTGAGTATAGGGGTGGATTGAGGCAGAAGGGAACAAGAAGAAAGGAAAGTGAACAGAATGAGGATGGTTCATCTGGCCACCGTGGTCACCAGACATTTGCAGATTTCCACCAGGGGCAGGGTTCCTGTTTGGGTGATCTGGGAACAGGCAGTTAGCCCCAGTAGGAATAATTGGAATTCTACAGAGTACTTTGCTAGCTGAGGGGAAGTGGTGTAGTTTAAGCACATGAGTAAGCGGCACATGTGGGTGTGTGCATGTGTATGTGTGTGTTTTCCAAATTGGTGGGAGGCTAGCCATTGAGACTGTTGAAGAGCCCACTGCATCAGGAAACTATTACACTTTAATAAATCCAGACCTCTGTTCCAGCCCTGCTGTGAAATCAGGCTCTTTAAGGGCATGTCAGACTAGTAGCTTCATTGCTTGGTGCCTCAGTTTCCCTTCCAAATGAGTATTTCATGGTTGGCACGCCCTCAGTTTTGCTTGGCCCTATTAACTATAGCACAAACAATTCAAATGCATGCCTTTCTAAAAGTGCAAATCAAATTGGATGATGGACTTCCTGGGTCAAAATAGCGAGGGTTAAGTCTATAAATGCCCAGTTTTCTGTCTACACTGTAGAGGTAGGCTCCCCCATGAAGTGCTTCAGAGGCATTCCCACTAGACTGAGGGCTATTTAAAGCTCCAAGCTGCTCTGTTTTGAGATGAGGGTAGGAGGTTCTTCTCTCCAATGTGAATCTATCTGAGAATTCTCCTTTCTTTAGGCTCCCGGGTGCACCATGGAGGCTGGCGAGCCACCTGCTAGTTTGCTGTCCTCCTGGGACAGGGCAGTGCAGCTGCAGCCTGAGTCTCCACTGGCTCTGAGAGGGCTGCTGGCACGGGGATCTTAGCAGGGAGGAAGCAGCAGGCAGGGGGAGCCCAGCACGGGCGGCACGCGAGCCCAGCCAGAGGAGGCAAGAGCATCTGCCAAGTTGATGGAGAGCAGTGCCACTGATTTTGAAATTGCTGCAAGTGCGGAAGGAGGGAGGGTGTGGAGAGGAGAGGGAGCCCGAAGTCCCCCCAGGGGCTCCACAGCACTTTCTTTCTGGCTGGTTCCTGTTAGGCAGGGCAGACAGAATCATTCAGAGAAAGCAGGTGGGGAGGGGGGAGGAAAATCAATTGTTTTTCATATTTATTGATCGCTTTCAATGAATCGCTGTGGTAATGTAATGGGAGCAGAAGGAGGAGGAAGGGTTGGCCTTTAAGGGTGAGTGAGTAGCCTGCCAGGGTGGCAGTGGGAGTGCCACGAGGCCACTGAGGTTGTCGGACTGGAACCTGTCCACTGTGCCCACCAGGCATGGCAGACATGTCCCTTAAGTCTTTCCAGGGTTGGGTGGAAGGACCTGAAGATGTTTGTTTTGATGTTCTGGGATCGAGTCGCATCCAGATGGATTATACTTTTTCCCCCTATTTTAGAAAATCATATACGTAAAGTGCAGAAAGATGGCTACAGCAAAGAGTAATGTTGTAGAAAAATGCATAATTTCACCAGAGTATTGCAATTCATTCCAACCTCTTCCCACACACGGCTTACATAGTTGTGGGAGAACTGCATCCACGGTGTCATAGCTTGCTTTTGTTTATCTGCAGAATACAGATTCCACATTACTGGAAGGTCTTTAGAGCATGCTTTGAGAAGGACTTTTTTTGCCATAAGGTAATAAATGACCATTATAGAAAATTTGGAAAAATACAAAAACTATAAAAATGGAAATAAAAATACTCATAATTTCACCACCCAGAAATGATTCCTCTTGGTATTCAGTGTATTTCATTCTAAGCCTTTTTTTCTATGCATACATAAATAATGTATTTTCCTCCATGAAATGTTGATCATGAAATATATATGGTTTTTTATGTTTCACTTTTTTACTTACATTACTGAACTTTTTAAATCATTATTTTTAATGTCTGTATACTATTCCATCTCATGTGTACAACAGTCTTTATGCAACTGCTTTACTATTATTTCTAATGTTTTAGTTCTTATGTAAGCAACATAGTGATGACTTTTCTTTACATCTGTCTTTTTCCTCCTCTTTCTTGGTACCTAGAAAAGAAGATTATCTTTTGGAGGTGGACCTGGGTTTTTCCCTCAGCTTCAAGTAGAAAATCCCATTGTTATAGCCCATAAAAGTACCCGAACTTGGCTCAGAACCTGCTGGAAGCCTCCAGTGGTAGTGGTCTCCCTCTAACAGTTATTATTATTATTATTATTATTATTATTTTTAACAGTCATTATTTTTATTCAAAAAAGAATTGTTTTAAAGTTGTGTTTTTCTACAGACTTGCTATCTAATGCATTAATACATAACCATTAACTATATGTGGCTCTTCAAATTTAAACTAATTAAAATCAAATAAAATTAGAAATTCAATTTCTTGATCATACCAGCTACAGCTATATTTCCAGTGCTCAAGAGATACACTGGGCTCATGGGTACTGTATTGGACAATAAAGGGACAGAACATTTCCATTGTCACAGAAAGTTGTGTAAGACAGCATTAGAGGAAAGGTTATCCTAGGCTCTTCATGCTTACTTGGGGTTTCCCTGAGCTTGCCACCCCTTTGAGCCCGTCTCCCAGAGGCACAGTCTGAGGTTTCAGCCTCTACCCATGATCCTCTCCCAGCCTCTTCTCAGGCAGGCCTATCTTTCAGCCTTCTCTTAGCCGGATTAATAACTACTTTTGCATGCAAAGGTAATGCTAAGAACAGCTTCTTCTTCTCTCTAGATGAGTGGGAATCTACCCAGAGACCAGAATGATAAAAGCACAGATAAGCTTTTCTTGTACTACCCCTGACAATCTTGAGATTCAGGAGACCCTTGGCCAAAAAGGAAGTTCTTGGAGAGCTGGAGGGACCCTTTCTCCTCAGCCCAAAGGAGGGACAGAAGTTCTGTCAGTGCATCTGGGGCGGGTTTGACAGCAGCAGCTTGGTGGAGTAAGACTGTCAGCCACCCTCTTTCTTCGCACAGGCCTAGCTGTTCATCACGAGACTCAGACAGTAAGTGGCAGGTGAGCAGAGTGGGAAGCCTGACGCATCAAGGGAGACCAAGTGTTAGAGGTGAGAGACTTAAGCACCCCAGGTCTTGGGAAGGATAGGACTTGGGACATAAGACACACATCCATGCTTGTAAAAAACCACAGCTCCAAGTCATTTACATTCACATTTCAGCCTGAGCCCCAGAGTCTAAATTCAAGCTGCTACCTTCAAAACAAATAGCATCAGCCAGCTTTATACAAAGGCTACAAGCTTAATTACTTTGGATGCAGCCTGCTGTCCAAAGAAAGCCTTGTTACAAACTGATAATCATTTGGGAAGCAGAGGAGATTGTGTTTAAAGACCCCTCCTAAGACAAGCCTTCCTCCTTGCCCCTTGCCTCTTCTCAGAAGACAAAACATAGTGGAGAAGAAAATGGAGGTGTCTCACCTCTCCAGGCTTCAGATTAGCTGCCCAGTGCTTGGGTCCAGAAGAGCAAGAGCGTGGACCAGGCTTGCCTTGCTCAGTGATGAGTCCCCAGGGTAGGCACAGTATACCAGCTCCTTAATATTTGTTGAATGGATGAGCAACAATGATTTTATAACTCAGATGCATCGGACTTTAATTCACCTCAACATGTTCCCAAAGGACAAATAAATGTATTTTAGGGAATATTATGAGATATGGAAACACACATGCCTTTTCCTCATATTATTTCTTAATATTTAAGTTTTTTGTATAAAATATTTAATACATAAGAAAATATATGTAGTGCCCATATACTAAAGTAAGTGAAGCATGGTAATGAAACACACACTGGTGAAGCTTAAGAGAAATTAAGAACTAGAGTTGTACTAATACCATTGATGTTACCTATATCCTCTCCCCAGACTGCATGCAAAGGTAACTACCATTTTCAATTTTGTGTTTACCATTCCCTAGACTTCTAAAATATAATTTCACCTCCTCATCTGTGTGAATCGCTAAACAGGAAGTTTCATTCTGCTTGCTTTTGAGTCAGATTATAGTCCTTTGAGACTTACTTTTTATTCAACATGCTGTTTCTGAGATTATCCTTGTGGCTGTGAGTAGATGATTAACATTCATTTTCCACGGCTACTTAATATTCCATTTACCTGACCATGCCAGCATTTATGTATACACTCTCTTTGTAATGGTTGTTTGGGTTGTTTCAGGCTTGTGGTAATGATATTAGGGCTGCAATTGTCTTGCACTTTCCTGGTACACATGTACATGAATTTCTCTAGAATGTGTACTTGGAGGACAATTGCTCGCTGATGGTGTGTGCTTGCAAGGTGTTTCCATGTTGTTTTCTAAAATGATTGTTACTCTTATATATTCCCATGATCACTGATAAGGTTGATCACATTTTCATACATTTTTTTTTTCATATTTCCTCTCTAGTGGCATTCCTAGTCATGTCTTTGGTTCTTTCTCTATTGGGTTATTGTCTTTTTAGAAAATTGACTTGTAAGAATTACTTTTATGTTCTGGATGCTAATCCTTTACTGATTACATATCTTTCAGATGTTTTCTCCTAGTTGCTGTTGATTTCTTTAATGGTATCTTTTGATAACTCAAAATTTTAAAAAATTTTAAATAGGAGTTCTTGATTTTAGAGTAGTCAATACTTATCAATCTTTTCTTTTTGTTTCTTAAGAAGCCCTCATTGTCTTGAGTTTATAAAAGGACCCCCCTAATCTTATCATCTGAATGTTGTAATGGTTGCTTTTCATATTTAAGTCTTCAGTCCACCTGGAGTTGATTTTTATGTGAGATGAGAGCAGGAATTCATGTATTTCCCTCCTCCTCCCCTTCCCTGGCTTGGATGTTCACTTGTCTTGGCACCATTTATTTTACATTCCTCCTTTCCCCAGTGACCTGAAACGCCACATCTATGTTAAGGATATAGATCTGCATGATCAGCTGTGAAAGCTGGTCAGGCAAGTCCCTCTACTTTCTTCTTCTTCAGAAGGGGTGTCTTTCCTCATTCCTAATGATCTGAGGAAAGATGGGTGTGTGTGCCCTACACATAACTCAGACAGTTTGTGTCTAAACCTTGCTTATGAGGACTGCCCCAAGTAAACTAAGACAAAAATCTCTGTCATGTAGAAGTCATATAGTCAGTGCAGGAAATTCTGAATCTCTTTTAGCCTTGGGCTATACCTTTAATATCCTCTAAAGTCCTGAATTCCTAATACAGGAGAACCAGCTGACATGAATGTTAAGAGTTTACCCAAGGACAGGATAAACAGCAGTATGTGGCTTGTAAACCAGATGCACTGGATGTGCAAATCCCAAGAGGGACGCTGCATGGTCTCAGGGTGGCTTAGACTGGGGTGGGGTGCTGTCATGCATTAGGAGGAGAAACTGAAGCAGAAAATCCCTGCCCGAGATGCTCTTAGTGATGCCAGGGTTCTTGTTTGCAGAGCCGAAGAATGAGCTTCACAAACAGTCAAGGTAGGAGACCAAGGTACAGGCTTTTACTTAGAAATAGAGAGAATAGAGCTCCCGGCTCACGCCAGGAGGGGACAAGAAAGTCCATAGTGGTGCGTTGTCTAGGGGGTTTTATAGACAGTTGAGGATTTTTTGAGAACATAAAGAAAACTTAGGGGTGTGGGCTTGTTAAGTGGTCTCTGAATATTTAGAATTAACTTAACACAAGCAACTTCCTCTGATGATTTCTCCCTGAGATAGCAGCATCTTGGTCTGGGGGCATATGAAACAAGGCCACTTGCTCAGCCCCCAAGGTGGGCTGAGGTATTGTTTGCTAAAGAGTAAGTTAAGAATTTCTAACTTCTTAACTTCTTGGGTATTAAAATGCAATCTTATCTTTAAGGTGGAATCCTTCCTGCCTTTTACTGTGTTGTTTATGCCTGGGCTTACTTGCTAAATTAGTTGCCCAGTTTGCAAAATCACTTCATCAGATCTGAAGGAGAAAGACAGCACAAAGGCCTGGGCCTTTTAGTATGCTAAAGAAAACCTTACACATGATTATAAATGGTTAGCATAATAAAACATGTGCTACTCTTTATCTGGGGAACATTAACTGATTTTACTGAAGAATGATTCTAGAACTCAATGTTTAACAGAGTTTTAGCAGGGGGGTTTCCGTGCATGTAGTTACATTGCTCTGATTGCAAATATCCCACCCTACCCCCTCCGGAGGCCCTCACCCTACTCTGACTACATCTATGGTCCCTGTCTCATTAGCAAAGCATTTTTTCATCAAAGCTTCTGCTTCTTGACAAACAGATTCTAAGATGCATCTAGAGAATGTCTCATATGTAGAAAAATCTGAGGTCAGAGACACGTTGGGTGAGGGGAGAAGCATTCACTCAACCATACAATAACTGTTTATTGAGTATCTGCTATCTTCCAGCCACTATTCCAGGTCCTGGAGATAAGACCCTGAACAAGACAGGCATGTTGCTGACATTCTAGTGGGGAAGGCAGACAACAAGTGAATAAACAAATAAACAAGACAGATATGGCTGATGGTCACCTAGAAATGCAGATCCCGTGATGCTCAGGGAAGGCTTCTCTGAGGAAGTCTGGATGGCAGGAAGGAGCGGCCACGAGGGGCTCGTGTTCTAGTCCTGGACCAGCTGGCAACAGTTGCTGTTTGGCCGATGCAGAGAAAACCTATGGGACTGGAGAGTGAATAGAAGGGGAAGACCTGTAAGATGAGGCAAAAAAGATGCAGTGGCCAGATCCTATGGGGACTTGTGGGCCAAGGTCAGGAGTTTAGGTTTTCTTGTAATTGAATGGGAGGTCACTGGAGGGCTTTGAATAGGGAAATGGTATGTTAGGGCTTAGAATTGGAAAGCGATTACCTTATTGAAAAGATGAGGAAGCGGATTTGTGGGGAGTGCAGGAGAATGACCCGAGGCCACTCAGCTAGAAAGCAGCAGAGGCTCCGGAGGCGGGTGCCCCGGCCCGGCAGTGGGTGAGCACCTCCAGCTGCCTCCACCATCAGTCCCTGTCTGTCGTCTGCCTTTCCGTCAGCCGGATGCTCATAGCAGGAAGCTCCCAGGCCTTGCTGAGTTGTCTGCCAGGCGGATGCGGGTTTTGAATGCTCGTGTGTATTGTATCATGCCTGTCTCCCAAAGAGGGTTTGTTTGGATCAACTGGATTATTTATCAAGGAACTCTTCCATTTTCTTAGAATTCGGAGTGCGGTTCCCCCCTGTGTCTGCCTGTCCCTGATTATCTCACCAGGGCCATCCTCCCACAGCCTCTGATTTTCCCTGAAAACCCAGCCATTGATATTGCCCTTTCTCTTTGCCGAGATAATGCCCCAGCCCCTCCTGGCCCCCATCAGAGGGGCTAAGCTGCCGGCACCTGCCCTCCCTTGTCCTGGGGAGGCTGAGCTGTCTGCCATGCTCTCACGGTGGGCCTTCACTCGCCGGCGACCTCACATCCGATACCCTGCAGCTGACGGCGATGACCTCCTTAGGAAGCCATCTGCCCAGCTCCGCCTTTTCAGGGCTGTTTGCTCTCTTCTTCTAGATTCAGCCCCATCTCAGTGAGCTGTGGAACCCCATGCTTCAGGCCACCCTGGCCAGCCTGGCTTTCCCCATTTTGCTATCATGTTCCAGGCTGTGTGTAGATTCAGGTCTCCATCACTGGGCCTGCCCTTGACCTGTCTGTGGCACAGAGGGCCCAGGACAGGAAGCCAGGAGACCTGGGTTCTCGCCCAGCTTGGGGTGTGACCTTGTGTAAGCCTGTAAGGCACGTCTCTCTCTGCAGAAGCAGTCTGAATTTAATCAAAAACTGTTTTTGCTGTATCAGCTGTAATAGAAAAACACAACCCAAATGCATTTATATGCCAAATATCAACATATTAAAGCCAACGTGTTAATTTGTTTTGTTAGGCTAACTCATTTGTCTACAGATCGTAGAATAAAGCTTTTTCTGCCATGTATGAGTGTGTGTGTGTGTGTGTGTGCATGTGTGTGAATGCATTTATTAGCATGTCATTGATTTAGAAGGCCTTGGCATGGCTGCACCGAGTAAATAGTACCAGTGAGCACATGACTGTAGCACATCCCCCCCCCAGTCTCCCTGAGCAGTTCACTAGGCAAAGCTCAAACATGCATGCTCTAGACATGCTCTTGTCATGTGTAGCTACCAGCTGCACAGGGCTGGGTGAGCATGTAAATGCTGCTTTGTGGTAATATAGGATGGGCCTGTCTATTCCTTAATAAGCATTTTATTTTGGAAAAATTTTAGATTTACAGGAAAGTGGCCAAGGTAGTGCAGCGTTCCCATCCACCTTTCATCCAACTTCCCATAACATTACCCCCTCACACACGTGAGAATGGAAAGCTCAAACATGCATGCTCTAGACATGCTCTTGTCATGTGTAGCTACCAGCTGCACAGGGCTGGGTGAGCATGTAAATGCTGCTTTGTGGTAATATAGGATGGGCCTGTCTATTCCTTAATAAGCATTTTATTTTGGAAAAATTTTAGATTTACAGGAAAGTGGCCAAGGTAGTGCAGCGTTCCCATCCACCTTTCATCCAACTTCCCATAACATTACCCCCTCACACACGTGAGAATGGGGGTGTGAGTGCTGGCACAGCGCCGTGAGTCCGGGCAGGCTTTGCTCAGGCCTCACCAGGTCTCCCACTGCAGCCTTTTCGCCTGCAGGAGCCAGTCCAGGATTCCACACATGTTTGGCTGTCTGCCTCCTTAGGCTCTTCCATTCTCACAGCTTTTTGGTCTTTCCTCATTTTTCATGATCTTGACACTTTAAAGGAGGGCTGTTCCATTTTTGTAGCATCTCCCTAGTTTGGGTCTGTCCGTTGTTTTCTACGATGAGACTGAGGTGGGATTTGGGGAAACAGCCCGCATGAGCCGGCCAGTGAACTGCACAGAGGTCTTGTCCACTAGAAGCCGGATTAGTAGTTCCTCCTCTTGAACAGGACTAAGGAGGGATGAACACAGGCCGACAGCTTGGTCACTCTGCTTTAATTCCTCAGAGAGACAGGACAAGGGTCGTTTGGAGGGGGCCCCTCATTAGGAATCCCTGGGGGTCCTGGGCAGCGCTGCTGGTGCGAGTGTGAGAGCAGAGGTGAGCTGGACACATATCTCTGAGTCATGCTCCTGAGACCGTGGCCGAGACCCCACAGGAAACTGCCAGATTCTATACTGGATGATACTGGAAAATTGGTGAGAGTTGGACAAGGGGAAGAATCAGTGAGTCACTCGTCATAATAATTAGGAATATTTTGATATGTTGGAAATGGGAAACAAGTCTGATCAGGACAGTCATGGTATATGTGTGTGAGTGTGTGGAAGTCTGAGAGAGTGTGTGAGTGTATGCGTGTGCAGGCGAGTGTATGTCTGTGTGTGTATGTGAGTGACCATATGAGTGTGTGTAGTATGTGTGTGCATGTACATGAGTGTGTGTGTGTATGACTGTGAAACTGGAAATGAATTGAAAATTAGGATGGGAATTAGTTCGTAGTCCTGGCCTGGATCCTAGCTCCAGTTTTATTTTATTCAGTAACTCAGTTTCCTTATCCATAACATGAGCTCAGACTACCTGGCCCCCCAGCCTCGCAGAGTCACTGTGAGGGAGAAATAAGGGCAAACAGGCTTGGGAAAAGCGTAATGTGATCTGTACGTGCGGGATGGAATCATCATCAGGGAGAGTGAAGAAGCAGGACTGGCAATTGTTGGTCAGAGAGATGAGAAAGAGAATAGGGAATGAAGAGAGAGGGAGGCTCTGCAAGCCCGGCTGGTCACAAACTCAAGGCTAAGTTTTGTACTGGAGGCAGCGCCTTGCGTTTCACCTCCAGGAAAGCACACTCTGTGCAGATCTGGGGAGCCGCGGACTTCCACATTCCTGTTTCTCTTCTTCCCAATTGCTGGCCTGATTTCCATTTCTAACAGTGGCACTTTCTGCGGAGGTGCAGTATATTATAGACTGATTAAGGCTGCTAATTAATGATAGTGGCCATCCAGGAAGTAATCCACAGCATTATCCCCATCTATCTCTGTCTCGCGCCTTTCATCAGGTCATTACGGTGACAGGCTTCAGGGAGCACAGCACTCTCCCCCACTGTGGCCTCTTGGTGCCTTTCTCCCTGGAAGGGCTATGAACTCTCTAGGGCTGAGTCACATGAAGACATCACCACTAACAGGCCAAACTGACCAGGCTCCTTTCTGTGGAGCTTATTCCACTCAGGAGACTTAGGCTCATGGGAAATCCCTTTTTTATGCTCCCTTCCCTTCTGCTGCCCCCAGCCCAGGATTCTTGCAAAGACTGGGACCATGAAATGAGAACAAAGGAAGCAGATAGTTAAATCCTGGTACCTGGTCATGGTGTGGACCCTTAATGGGCATACTTACCAACAGGAGGTCACCACTGGGGACCATGCTGATCTCTGCAAGCTAAGCCACACATAACTGAGAGGGCATTCGAGTCCTGCCTGGCCCGTCAGCATCTGGTGTGGTCCTAACTCAACAGGAAGCATCTAGCAGTTTCCCAGCATTGTCAGGCTCTCTGCTGCTATGTCTGCCTGTACTTACATGTGCCCTGGGTGGGCACACAGGGTTGGAAGCTGGTTTGGCAAGTGTGAGAGAGGGAGGGAGGCGGGCTTTGGGACTTTTCCCAGAAGAGGTGACTAAGAATAAACCCACCCCATTGTTCGAACGCTGAAACTGGAATAAGAAGAAGGGAAGCTTTACCATTCAAGTCCCGGTATAAAACACTTTCTCTCACTCTCTGACATTGATTCATCACCTTTAATTTTGGACAGGGACATGCCTATCATACATTCTTTTAAACCACAAGTCAACTGCTATCTTTTTCCTCATCATCTTCCTCTTTAAATCTACCATGAAGGAATTATAGTGGTTGGGGACCATCTATTTCCCGGGCACTGAAGCTGAAGGGGGCCAGGATAACAGATGTCCTATTAGGACAAAACAGAGCTCTCTGCTGAATTAGGGTGTGCCTTTCTGGCCACCCAGTCCCTTTGGTGGCCAGAGGTAGGTGTGGAGGCCAGCTGCTGCCTGGGTGGCCAGGGGCAGGGGTTGGAGGTGGGGAAGCTGAGGAGGAGTTGCTGGGTGACCAGTAAGATGGCACTTCCTCTGAACGCAGTCCACAAGGTGCTCTCATCTCAGCCTACACCATGGCCAAGTTTGTGGTCTGCTGGTGGGACAGGGAGGCTTGACAAGTGAAAGGAGCATTTCTTGCTGCTGATAATAATATTCTTGAATGATAGTAATTTCTACATGTTGACCATTGTGCTAAGCACCTTATAGTAGTCCCGGATGTATTTGCACCATCTGCATTTTACCCATGAGAGGAAGTTGAGTGACCTTCTAGGGACCAGAACTCATAGAGGTGGGGGTTGAACCATGCTTACTTGACTCCAGAGTCTTTGGGCTTATTTAACTCTTCTAGACTTCTTTTACAAACATGTCAGGTTGCATCTTTCTTACCCACAGTAAAAAACATATTTTACCTTTATAACTCACTATCCACATACATATTTGAAATTAAAAAGCTTCATACAACAATACTCAACTCACTCTTACTACTGTGTGATGCACTCTGTTTTTCTTCATTCTTTTTTTTTTATCATTAATCTACAATTACATGAAGAACATTATGTTTACTAGGGTCCCCCCTTCACCAAGTCCCCCACACAAACCCCATTACAGTCACTGTTCATCAGCATAATAAGATGTTGTAGACTCACTACTTGTCTTCTCTGTGTTGCACAGCCCTCCCCATGCCCCCACTCACATTATACATGCTAATTTTAATACCCCCTTTCTTCTTCCCCGCCCTTATCCCTCCCTTCCCTCCCATTCTCTCCAGTCCCTTTCCCTTTGGTAACTGTTAGTCCATTCTTGGGTTCTGTGATTCTGCTGCTGTTTTGTTCCTTCAGTTTTTCTTTGTTCTTATACTCCGCATATGAGTGAAACCATTTCGTATTTGTTTTTCTCCACTTGGCTTATTTCACTGAGCATAATACCCTCTAGCTCCATCCATGTTGTTGCAAATGGTAGGATTTGTTTTCTTCTTATGGCTGAATAATATTCCATTGTGTATATGTATCACATCTTTATCCTTTCATCTACTGATGAAAGGTTGCTTCCATTTCTTGGCTATTGTAAATATCGCTGTGATAAACATAGGGGTGCATATGTCTTTTTCAAACTGGAGTGCTGCAATCTTAGGGTAAATTCCTAGAAGTAGAATTCTTGGGTTAAATGGTAGGTCTATTTTGAGTATTTTGAGGAACCTCCATACTGCCTTCCACAATGGTTGAACTAATTTACATTCCCACCAGCAGTGTAGGAGGGTTCCCCTTTCTCCACAACCTCGCCAACATCTGTTGTTGTTTGCCTTTTGGATGGTAGCCATCCTTACTGGTGTGAGGTGATATCTCATTGTGGTTTTAATTTGCATTTCTCTGATAACTAGCGATGTGGAGCATCTTTTCATGTGCCTGTTGGCCATCTGAATTTCTTTTTGGAGAACTGTCTGCTCATGTCCTCTGCCCATTTTTAATTGGATTATTTGCTTTTTGTTTGTTGAGGTATGTGAGCTCTTTATATATTTTGGATGTCAAGCCTTTATCGGATCTGTCATTTATGAATATATTCTCCCATACTGTAGGATACCTTTTTGTTCTATTGATGGTGTCCTTTGCTGTACAGAAGCTTTTCAGCTTGATGTAGTCCCACTTGTTCACTTTTGCTTTTGTTTCCCTTGCCCGGGGAGATATGTTCAAGAAGAAGTCAGTCATGTTTATGTCTAAGAGATTTTTGCCTATGTTTTTTTCTAAGAGTTTTATGGTTTCATGACTTACATTCAGGTCTTTGATCCATTGTGAATTTACTCTTTTATATGAGGTTAGACAGTGATGCAGTTTCATTCTCTTACATGTAGCTGTCCAGTTTTGCCAGCACCGTCTGTTGAAGAGACTGTCATTTCCCCATTGTATGTCCATGGTTCCTTTATTATATATTAATTGACCATATATGTTTGGGTTAATGTCTGGAGTCTCTATTCTGTTCCACTGGTGTGTGGCTCTGTTCTTGTGCCAGTACCAAATTGTCTTGATTACTATGGCTTTTTAGTAGAGCTTGAAGTTGGGGAGTGAGATACCCCCACTTAATTCTTCCTTCTCAGGATTGCTTTGGCTATTCGGGGTCTTTGGTGGTTCCATATGAATTTTAGAACTATTTATTCTAGTTCATTGAAGAATGCTGTTGGTATTTTGATAGGGATTGCATTGAATCTGTAGATTGCTTTAGGCAGGATGACCATTTTGACAATATTAAAACTTTCTAGCCAAGAGCATGGGATGAGTTTCCATTTGTTAGTGACCTCCTTAATTTCTCTTAAGAGTGTCTTGTAATTTTCAGGGTATAGGTCTTTCACTTCCTTGGTTAGGTTTATTCCTAGGTATTTTATTCTTTTTGATACAATTGTGAATGGAGTTGTTTTCCTGATTTCTCTTTCTATTAGTTCATTGTTAGTGTATAGGAAAGCTACAGATTTCTGTGTGTTAATTTTGTATCCTGCAACTTTGCTGTATTCTGATATCAGTTCTAGTAGTTTTGGAGTGGATTCTTCAGGGTTTTTTATGTACAATATCATGTCATCTGCAAATAGTGACAGTTTGACTTCTTCTTTACCAATCTGGATGCCTTGTACTTCTTTGTTTCATCTGATTGCCATGGCTAGGACCTCCAGTACTATGTTGAATAACAGTGGGGAGAGTGGGCATCCCTGTCTTGTTCCCAATCTCAGAGGAAAAGCTTTCAGCTTCTTGCTGTTCAGTATGATGTTGGCTGTGGGTTTATCATATATGGCCTTTATTATGTTGAGGTACTTGCCCTCTATACCCATTTTGCTGAGAGTTTTTATCATGAATGGATGTTGAATTTTGTCAAATGCTTTTTCAGCATCTATGGAGATGATCATGTGGTTTTTGTCCTTCTTTTTGTTGATGTGGTGGATGATGTTGATGGATTTTCGAATGTTGTACCATCCTTGCATTTCTGGGATGAATCCCACTCGTCGTGGTATATGATCCTTTTGGTATATTTTTGAATTCAGTTTGCTAACATTTTGTTGAGTATTTTTACATCTACGTTCATCAGGGATATTGGTTTGTAGTTTTCTTTTTTGGTGGGGTCTTTGCCTGGTTTTGGTATTAGGGTGATCTTGACTTCATAGAATGAGTTTGGGAGTATTCCCTCTTCTTCTATTTTTTGGGTAACTTTAAGGAGAATGGGTATTATGTCTTCTCTGTATGCCTTATAAAATTCTGAGGTAAATCCATCTGGCCCGGGGGTTTTGTTCTTAGGTAGTTTTTTGATTGCTGATTCAATTTCTTTGCTCATAATTGGTTTGTTTAAATTTTGTGTTTCTTCCTTGGTCAGTCTAGGAAGGTTGTATTTTTCTAGGAAGTTGTCCATTTCTCCTAGGTTTTCCAGCTTGTTAGCATATAGGTTTTCATAGTAGTTTCTAATAATTCTTTGTATTTCTGTGGAGTCTGTTGTGATTTTTCCTTTCTCATTTTTGATTCTGTAGATGTGTGTTGATTCTCTTTTTCTCTTAATAAGTTTGGCTAGAGGCTTCTTTATTTTGTTTATTTTCTCAAAGAACCAGGTCTTGGTTTCATTGATTTTTTCTTTTGTTTTATTCTTCTCAATTGTGTTTATTTCTTCTCTGATCTTTACTATGTCCCTCCTTCTGCTGACTTCAGGCCTCATTTGTTCTTCTTTTTCCAATTTCAATAATTGTGATGTTAGGCTATTCATTTGGGATTGTTCTTCCTTCTTTAAGTATGCCTGGATTGCTATATACTTTCCTCTTAAGACTGCTTTCACTGCATCCCACAGAAATTGGGGCATTGTGTTGTTGTTGTCATTTGTTTCCATATATTCCTTGATCTCTATTTTAATTTGTTCATTGATCCATTGATTATTTAGGAGCATGTTGTTAAGCCTCCATGTGTTTGTGCGCCTTTTTGTTTTCTTTGTACAATTTATTTCTAGTTTTATACCTTTGTGGTCTGAAAGGTTGGTTGGTAGAATTTTGATCTTTTGGAATTTGCTGAGGCTCTTTTTGTGGCCTAGTATGTGGTCTATTGTGGAGAATGTTCCATGTGCACTTGAGAAGAATGTGTATCCTGTTGCTTTTAGATGTAGAGTTCTATAGATGTCTATTAGGTCCATCTGTTCTAGTGTGTTGTTCAGTGCCTCCGTGTCCTTACTTATTTTCTGTCTGGTGGATCTATCCTTTGAAGTGAGTGGAGTGTTGAAGTCTCCTAAAATAAATGCATTGCATTCTATTTCCTCCTTTAGTTGTGTTAGTATTTGTTTCAAATATGCTGGTGCTCCTGTGTTGGGTGCATATATATTTATAATGGTTATATCCTCTTGTTGGACTGAGCCTTTTATCATTATGTAATGTCCTTCCTTATCTCTTGTTA